GATAGTCATCAATATATGGAGAAAATATGGCACAACAGTGACATTAGTAAAAACTGGATGTTCCTCCAAGATTGATGAAAAAATAAGAAGAAAACTGGTCCAAGAGACTGCTAAGAAGCCACAGCAACATTAAAGGAGCTGCAGGAATTCCTGTCAAGTACTGGTTGTGTACTACATGTGACAACAATCTCCCATATTCTTTGTATGTCTGGGCTGTGAGGAAGGGTGGCAAGATGGAAACCTTTTCTTACAAAAAATAAAAATCTAAGCCCGGCTACATTTTGCAAAACCCTATCTGACAAATTCATGTGAGAAAATGTGTTATGGTCTGATGAGACCAACGTTGAACTTTTCACCCATTAATTCCAAAAAGAATTTTGGTGCAAAAATAATACTGTGCATCATTGAAATACATCATACCCACAGTGAAGCATGATGGTGGCTTCAGGTAGAACTGGGGCTTTAGTCAAGGTGGAGGAAATTATTAACAGTTCCAAATATCAGCCAATTTTGGCACAAAACCTTCAGGCATCTGCTAAAATATTGAATCTCCAAATCAACAAAATATTGGCTTCACTAGAAGAAGATCAAAGTTTTGTAATGGCCCAATCAGAGCCCAGGCCTGAATCCAATTGAAAATCTGTGGGGTGACCTAAAGAGCTTGCAATCTAACAGACTTGGAGCACTTTTGCAAGGAAGCGTAGGCAAAGCTTCCCAAGGCAAGATGTGCCATGCTGATAGGCTGCTACCCCAAAAGACTGGATGCTGTCATAAAATCAAAACGTGTTTCAACGAAGTATTAGTTTAAGGGTGTGCATCTTACTTTATTGTAAGTTTTTTACTGTTATTTTCCCCCCTAAAAGATTTGTTTCTTTTTAAATTGAATTGTAAAACTTATATGTTATATTAAAGGTGGAAAAAATTCTGAAGTGATTCTACTTTTTTTATATCTCAAAAATCTGGCATTTTAACAAAATATGTAGTTTCTATATCCATTGTAAATTGGGATTTTCTCCATTATCTTGTTGGTCTGTTACCCATTGGTTTGTTTTTTTAAAAAGACCAATGAATTATCCTAAACTGAGTACTAAAAACCTTCTTGGAAATGTCACCAGGGTTTTCTTTATGGCAACTATTTCCTGATTAGAAATGTCACCAAATTTAAAATATTGGAAAAATTAACCTATGCAGGAAAGAAACTCTTGGGCCATATCTACTGGGGAGAAAATGCTCCTCTTTAGATACAAATACTAGGGCAACTTTGTACAAAGGCTAACCTGGAATTCATCTCATCTTCTGCTCTATTTTCTGGAATAAATTGTTATATTGTTTTATATTTGTAAAACCACTGGTTGTTTGGGGAGCTTTCCTATTCATTTCAAAATTGATTTGTTTTCCTGAACTGAAACAGGGGCTTTCCCCAAGTACTAGCTGCCCTCCTTCCCTTGAAGAAAAGGAAAGGATACATATTTAGCGGTGCATGGAACAATGTGTGTCAAGGGAGCAAGGGGGGGGGGGAATGGGGGAAAGGGGCCAGTGGCATGCAATTCAACCCCTATTCTCATTAAATAATGTCTCACCTTTGTGAAGCACTGCATTGGCTGGTTTATTCCCAGCCATAGATTCCTTGGATAGATGCTGATGGCTCTCAGCTAGGCACTCCACTTCAGCAAAACGGGTATTCAGAGCCATAGAGGGATGAGATGGATCTTCTGACATGTTTAGATATGCAGCTCTCCGTAGCTGCTCTTCAATCACTAGGGCTTGTTCCAGCAGCTGTAAAAAGCAATATTGGTCCTCAGTTTTTGGTACAATATCCACATTGCTTATAATTCCTATAAGTTACATTCAGTTTATAATGTCTTTAAGACCTATATACTGTTGTTCTAAGCAAACATTCAAAATTCTCTAACAAGATATCAGAAAATTTTAATTGCAAGGCCATGTGGCACAAATGCACAACTAATTCTTTGTCCTGTTGCCCCAAAGAGACATGGATAAGAATCTTAAACCTAACCATTAAAATAAGAATAATAAATACATGCGTACAACTCAACTATTAATACAAAGTCAAAATGTTACAAAAGAATCATTCCTATGATTACCACTTGACAGAATATTTTAAGAAGAGTATTGCTTAAAAATCACAAAGTTCTTTACGAGCTGAATTAAGCTTCACCATATCGTCAATAACACTCTCATAACCTGAGACATTCTTCTTTTTATATATATATTTTAAAAAACCTTGACTTAACTGCACGTAAAATCAGAGAAATTTCTCTGAGTTTTTATATGGCAACTTTTAAGGGGCAAAAAGGGTGCCTTAAATCAAGTCAGGAGGCATTCATTTTGCCTTTAAAGCACACCCTTACCCTTCAAACAAAAAAGGGAACGATACTTTCATCTCATCCACACATCTATCCTGTTCTTAATCCCCCCGCCCAATCTAAAAAAGAAAAAAAATTGACTTGTTTTTGAAGAAAAATCTAACCTGTTCATTTGCCACATTTACAAAGAAACTGTAACCTAAAAGGGATGCTCACCTTAAACCTCCTCGCCAAGAATTTATTCTTTATTTCTAGAAAGTTACCCCTGTTCATTTCACCCTTGAAAGGCTCATTGAGGATGGCGTAACGGGAATCGTTCTGGATATCTTGCCATCGAGCATAACCATGACTGTAATTGGAGAAGCTCAGAAAAAAAATAACCTGGAAAATGTGGGAAATCAGTAATAATTACAGTTTATTTGAATTAGTGAGTTGTGATATTCAAGCTCAATTTAAGGATTATAGTAGGATTCCAATTTATTCAAAGGGAAGACTTTCAGGTAAAATCCTTTCTTTGGACACTCTCAAGTCAGGTTTCCTCATATTATTACTTCATCTGCCAAGCCACTGCTGAAAAATTTGGTAGAACAGACCCTCCTTGTAAAGAGAGATCTATTTGATCCCAATAAATAAGAGGATACGCTGGGCCATTGGGCAAAATAAAACTCCAAAAGTTGGAGAGAACAACAGTAAATGTAAAATGAAGTAAAGCAGGAAATCTGAAAACCCACCAGAAGCGAACAAGCATTTCTATTATTAAAGAAAGCATCTAAAAATAATACAAATGTATAGATTGCACTGTGCAGAATCTATTCTTGTTAAGAGATAAGAATGCAAATACCAGACTTGTTTTAAACCCAAGAATCATACTGTTTGTCTTAGCTAAGTCAAATTCTCAATCAAATCTATCATGGCTCCTAGAGGAAGGATATCCTAAAGGTGCTTTTTCAAGTGGCAAGTGGACTTTCTGGGTTTTTTTCCCCTTTGTTTCTCATCCAAGAAGCTTCTTCAGCTGATCCAAGAAGCGTCTTGGATGAGAAGCAAAACGTCTTCAAAGAAAAACCAGGAAGTCCAGTTGCCCCATGAAAAAGCACCTTTGGGGCAACCATGACCTGGATGACTGAAAATCTTCATACATAGAGGAAGGATACTTTATAATTCCTGCCAAGAGCCAGTAGTCATGGCGCCGGTGCCAGATCTCATATGTCTTCTTGGTAACAGTAGCTGCTCGCTCTTCGTTTTGCCACAAGGAATGCAACTCTGCAACGAAGTAAAAAGACGAAAGTGTTTACAATTGAGTAGAAAAAAGTTCCCAGAAAACATCTATCCTCATTGTCAGTTAGTACCAGTGAAGCCTCCATCTGCAATGTTGAACATGAACCGTTGTTTTATGGCTTTCTTGTGCCGATCGTCAGCAGGATCTTTAAGTGTTTCCCCATTTTGCAGCATCACTATATCTTTCTTCTCATCTTCTTTTTTCTCTTCTGAAAAGAGAACAAATAAACAATTACCAATGAGTCCATCTTAATATTTCAAACATACCCTAGCCTCTGCCTAGAAAATTTATTTTATTGGGTGGATTAAATGTACAATAAGTAGCACTCTTGCCTTTCTCATCAAGATTAATTGTGGGAGGTTCAGCAGGTGGCTCCGCGGGTGTCTTTTCTTCCACTTTCTCTGTATCAGCTATGGAGAAAAATGGGTGTATAAATGGGTGTCTTGGGTGCTTTTCACAAAACTGTACAGTCTCAATCCAGGTTAAACCCTGTTAGCATGAGAAGCTTCCATTTACACCAAGAACTCCCATGCTCTACAATTTCATTCATCTGTGGAATAGGACTCATAGGAACTACAGCCATACCTTTACTCTCTGTTTCCATTGGCTCCTCTTTCACTTCCAGGTCATCTGGTTTCTTCTCTTCAGCTTCTACAGTATCTATAGGAGATTTTACCTCTTGTGAGTTGGTCTCTGTTGAAGGCGGGGCTTGCTATATGGGAGAAGAGTAAGCAGAATATTTAGTCAATAAGAGTGTAAGAAAGTAAAACCAGTCCCCGTTAAAAAAATTCACAGCATGTCTAGTAACAGCAGAAAGTTAACTTAAAACTAATTGCATACAATAAAGAATGCCCATGTATTTTGCTATTTTAATAGGGTTTTGTGAAGCTTTGGATTCAAAGCCAAAAATTACTTCCGAGCATGCAGGGACACTTATAAAAGTTATCTTCCTAAATCAAACAAGGCCCTGCTATAACTGCAAAGGATACCTGTGCAATCCTAGGTAAAGATGCAGTTTTTCATCTTCAAAGTTGGAGAGATTATGACTAAATTGAGCAGTACTTAAATAATTTTTAATAGCAATAGAACATTAGAAAAAAAAAATTTTTTTATACTAAATAAGCCTCTGGCAGACACTCACCTCAACTGGAACTTCATTTTCAACAGAAGCAGTAACTGCAGGACTGATCTCCTTCTCTGATTCTACGGGCTCCACTTGATCCTTGCTAGTGATTCCATCTTCTACCTTCACTCCCTCCTCTATAATCAGCACAAGCAAAGAAACTTTTCAGATAGTTTTTTCCCCCCTCTCATAAGAGACTGATGTTTCTCCATACCTGACCTCTATACTCACCCAACCCTGAAGAAATTTTATTCTGATATAAATATTCTATCTGGATGTTCTCTTGCGCCTTTGAGGGCAGTTCAACACTTGAAGAAGCCCTCCTAAGATAAGAGTGTTTTATTTACGTCCAGCCCCAAGCTCTCTGCCACAGTTTTGGCAGGAGCAGAAATTGAAAGCTGGACTGCTCTTTCTCGAAAATATTAACTCAAGGCTCTCACCTAAAGAAGGAACAGGTGCAGGAGTATTAGGCTGAGTATCTCCTGGAGTAGAAGGAGTTGGGGTTTTAGGGGAGGGTGAACTTGGCTGCAAAAGCTTTTTGTTCTCCTCTATCTCTGCAAGTTCTGGCATACTCCAGCGTCCATTCACATGTTCAAATTCTTGTACCTTAGGTGGAAAAAATAAGAAAATATCTTTTCAAAATCAAAACAAATGAAGAATATCAGCATCTACATTCCTGAACCCCAATGAGTATTTAAATAAAGGAAAAAAGATACACTAATCAGTGTATCACATATGTACGAAGGATTAGAAGGCCTTTTAAAATATTTTCTTGTAATCTGTAGAATAGATGGAAACTGCATTTTAGAGCTCACCTTCTTGCGTATGAGAGACATGACCCCTATTCGTGTGAGAACATGTTGTCGGGACAAGCCCTCACGTGGGACCCCATCGGCAAATGTTTCTGCACCATCTGCTCCTGGTTCACACAAGTGACGCATGAAGAGAGAGACATAGGCCCTGCCAAATGCAAAGGGGAGAAACCTTTATAGTAATAATAATCACTCTGCAATAGCCCCACTCTTAAATAAGGATTATTCACCTGGAACAGCCAAAGAAATTAACATGGAAGAGCTCTAGCAGCAGGCACCATTATTCTGCCTACATCAACTTGGCTCTTTTGCATACTCATTAGGAAGTACTTGCCAAATTCTACTATTGCTCTTCCTTATCTCCATAGAAGCACAGTTGGCATTCATTGGGTTTCCCTTCTCCTGAGCTTTTAAAAGAGATTTCTCTATTATTGCACAAACTCACTTGAACTCCTTTTCTGATTTGCCACGGAGATCTCGGACCAGCCACTGGGTAGTAAAGGCATCCTGAGGTGGCATCCCATAGCGCATGATGGCATTAAGGAAGGCCTTCCGCTGTCGAGCATTAAAGCCCAATACCTGTTACAGGAAATAGATTCAAGGAAAAAGATTTAGAAGTAATGGTAACATGTTTGTATGTTCAAGCACCCCATGTAGGGTTTTATTAGCATTCTAAGAACACATTAGTACCATCCTTTTTCATAACATTCTCATAATTATATACATTACCTCTATGTTTCCTCCCACACGGGCAAGGAGTGGGGGCAATGGCTTGTCTTTGTCATTCCTTAGGCCTTTGCGACTAGGTCGCCGTGCAGCTGACAAAACGAAAGGATGGGTCAGTTAACAGCACAATTTAAACCACAGGACTAGAGTATGATATATTTTTATTGAAGACAGAAATGTATAAAGAATGTATACTGTAATACAATACTTTAGTTCAATATATATACTTTGCTTTTCTTCCAAGGAAGGGAGTATGCAGCATATTCACCTGCCCCTTTTTTAATCTTCACCCTCAGATATTTTAGGCGAAAGTACAGCAAATGACCTAATAAGCTTCATGACTGAGAAACTGAATATTCTATAAATCTCCCCAAACATCTAGATTGTTGCTGAGATTTTAACAATGATACTGTTTTCCCAAATTGAAAGAAAGCAGTGCCTGAATCTGCATCAAAATTTACCTTCCGACCGCTCATCAAAATCTTCATCACCTTCCTCGGAGGCAACAGAATAGTCAGACTGATTATCTGATTGGTCATCCTGCCAGTCTGGGGAAAACAAAAAGGCTGTGAAAATTATCTGAAAAAGACTACTTCAAACCAAAATATTCACTCTCACTTGTTCGTCACACACCTCTATCTTCTTGTGAGCCATCGTTGTAGTTGACTTGTTTACGAATGCGCTTGCCCTTGCCTAGATTCCTAGCCAAGTCTTCTTGCTGCTGCTCATAATGATGGCGAAGCAGTTTTTCCCAATAGTCTGGATCCACCGATTCTTCTTGCTTGATAATCTCACGTTCAACCTCTTCTTCCTCCTACCACAACATTAGAAGATAACAATAGCTCAGTATTATCCCTGTTTATAAGAGAAGCAAGTCTCCCTGTTTTCAGTGTTTCCTAGTAAAGAGGTTTTTAATTGCCAACTTAATGTGAACCTTTTTATCAAGAACTGTTTTGGAAGAACACCATCTAGCAAGAGCCAATCAATTCACTTACCCCCATTTCTTCTTCACGCACCACATATTGGGCTACTTTGAAGGAACTCAGGTACTCATTCATACCCTGAAGTTCTGCATCCTCTGTCTCATCCTGGTTCCTATCCAGAAGTCGTTCAATTGCCTTATCATCATAATGGATGACACTGCTGTCCTCACCTTCCTTATTATCCCCTGGAAGAGGAATCATTTAGTAGATGAAAAGGCACAAAACATAAAAGCAAATAAAAGTAAGTAAATTACTCACTTTGTGTTACACTGCACAGATTCTTACCACCCTCGGTAGCTTCATCTTTGAAAAGCTCTTCAGTACCAAACTTAAGGATGTCATCCAGTTCTTGTTTGGACATAGAACCAGTCTTGGAGCCCAATCCTGGTCTTACTACAAGATGTGTTAGCATCATTTTTTTCTTAGCCACTTGTGTGATTCGCTCTTCTACAGAGGCTCGTGTAACAAAGCGATAAATCATCACTTTTTTGTTTTGGCCAATTCGGTGAGCACGACTAAAAGCCTGACAGGAAAAAAAGGTAGATGAAAACAGGTTTTCAGATATTCATTAAATCAGCCTGTATTCCCACAAACCATGTTTTTACCCATTTCATCCAGCATTCTCCCTAAATGCATTGTTTTCCAAGGTTCAATCTTGGAAATTTTTGTTTTACTACTCAAATTCACCTGGATGTCATTGTGTGGATTCCAGTCAGAGTCATAGATTATTACTGTGTCTGCAGTGGCAAGGTTAATACCAAGGCCTCCAGCTCTAGTGGAAAGTAAAAAACAAAACTGTGGGGCACCAGGAGCTAGAAAAAAGAAATGAGAGGTCATCAGTTGTTAATAATTTGGAATATCCATTTCACCTTCAAAGCTTGTCTAACCAGTCCCAGATAAACTTTAGAAATATTAGCTATTAGAGGGGAGAAAGATGCAAGGGAGAGTCACAGCTCCTGCCAAGGTACGTAAATTTGTTGGCTGTACCAATCATATTCATACCATTGAAGCGATCAATAGCTTCCTGACGCATATTTCCTGTGATCCCACCATCAATTCTCTCATATTTATACCCTTCATGTTCCAGAAAGTCTTCCAATAGATCCAACATCTTAGTCATCTATAAAGTACAAAGAAATAAATGGAATCAGTAGAAAATATGTTGCTAATCCATAATCAAGTGAACAGCTTCTGTGATATGTAACTACTTCTAATCAAGAGGAAAATACTGTTCGTTTCCGTTACCTGGGAGAATATCAGCACCCTGTGGCCTCCTTCCTTGAGATTCTTCAACATTTTCTGAAGCAGAAGTAGCTTCCCAGAAGCTCGGATTAGGGCACTACCATCATACATCCCATTAGGCATTTTTGGTGCTTCCTGTGTGTGAGCGAGACCGAAAAAGAGGTTAAAAGCTTCTTTGGCTTTGGTCAGGTTTGCTACAAATATCCTACAATTGAATTTAGTGCATATTATTTCAATGCCATTTTTTATTGCTTATCTCGCTCTAGTATTCCTTATTACTTTATTATCTGACTACTTTTACAGCTGCCATACTCATGTACTTTTACCCAAAGAAAGACTTTCAATTGCTGTATCCAAGAACAAGTATATCAATTTAAAAAGGTGAAATGTTGAGCCAATTCATAGAGTATTGTAAAATCTTAGCAGTCCATTTGGAGAGAAGAGTTTTATTAAATCCAAGTCAAAATAGCTGACAAACATTGGGTGTTATTAAATATGTAGACCTATTAAATTTAAATTTGAGGTGCTTGTTTTTCTCCTGTACCTGAAAAAAGTGATTGGCTATGGTATCTACAGTCAAGAACTTCAATATCCAAACGGCCAATAAAAAATAATAGAAGGTTATAGGCTTTTTAATCAAGACCCTAAAGGAGCCAGAACGTACCATGGCAGCCACAGGGAAGAGATATGGATGGTTGCAGCATTTCTTCAAATCCATAACAACATTTAGCAGAGAAACTTGGTTACCACCTCCTCGCGCATTCAGTGCCTCAAAATTTCTTGTTAGGATGTATTTGTAGTACTTCCTGTAAAATGTTAATGTTCACATTATTGGTTTTTGCTTTTCATATGACCTGCCTTAAAATCAAGCAACTACCTTAGGAGTACCTTTTACAATAAATTTACCTCTACCTCCCATTCTCCACCCCTTAAATGTAGTAAGAGGAAATAGATTGGCAATAAGAAACTGGGCAAAAAGAGAGAGAGAGAGAGAGAGAGAGAGAGAGAGAGAGAGAGAGAGAGAGGGAGGACACAGTAATTTAAAATCAATATCCTAAAACAAAGCAGGTAGATGCTTATTGGGATACTTAACCATTATTATTTAAGTAAAAAAAATAAAGAGAAGCCAACTATTCTGTGACACTCACTTTTGCATAGGGCTTAATTCCACTCTCACAATAAGTTCTGTCTTTGAAGGCATGTTCTTGAATACATCAGCTTTCAGACGTCTTAGCATGTGTGGTCCTAACATATCATGAAGCTTTTTGATCTGATCCTCCTTAGCAATGTCTGCAAATTCTTCCAGGAAGCCTTCCAAATTACTATAAAGGAATTCAAATAGAAACATGGAAACCTCAAGCTAAGAGGAAAATAAGCCACCTTGAGTTGTCTCGGTGAGAATACCGGCACAGATGTTTAAAAATGAATGAATGAATGAATGAATGTACTTCAGGGTGTATTGTAGGACTTACTGAAATCTTTCTGGTGTCAAGAAGTTAAGGAGGTGAAACAGTTCCTCCAGATTATTTTGAAGAGGGGTTCCTGTGAGCAGCAGTTTGTGCTGAAGAGAATAGCCATTCAGGACCCGGAAAAACTGAAGGGTGCATACCAAAGGAAAAGAGATATTAAGCACAATTTCATAA